CTGTGCTTATTCCTACCGTATTTTGTTCCATATTTTCCCAGTACAAGTCACTTGCAGGATTTGCTTTGTGGATTTCCTGAGCCAGAGGCTGTTTCTTTACTTTAGCCTAATGCCATGTTTTCTTTTGGCTTGGAAAGAGAGAAGCAACTGAGCTTGAAGAGAAAAAGCGTTACGAAAACGAGTATGGAACTGCGCGAAGGGAAGCGCTGGAAAGAATGAGACAGGAGGAAGAGAAGCGGCGGCAGAAGGAGAAGAAGCAAGCAGAGATGTTGCTGCAACAAATAGAAGAACTGAAGTTACAGGAGAGAGAGGTAAGCCTTAATTCCTCCTCAGGTGAGCCACTGAGCCATACATGAAATTGATGTGAAAATTCCTGCAGTGAGGATTTTGACTGCTGCAGGGGAGCAGGATGGGGTACCAACTCGGTATGAACACTCTCTCTGGGCTGTCCTAGCTCTCAGATACACTCTTTCTTGGTTGTTTTTTAATCCTTTTAGGCAACAAAGCTGAAAAAGGAACAAGAGAATTTATTAAAGCAGCAGTGGGAGCTGGAGAGCTTGGAAGAAGGAAGGAAACAAATGGAAGAGCACAGGAAGAAGAGAGAGCTCGGGTAAGAAGAAAGGGCAAATGCATTGGTGCCATTATTGCTTTTTGTTTATGTTAGCATTAGCAGGTATCTCTGTTGGCTGTAAGTTACGTTATCACAGAAGCACCTTCCTGAGTGCTGGCATATAAAAGATCAGGCTTTACAGTCAGATTGAATGTTCTTTGTTTTCCTCTTTCAGTCGCTTTTTGAGGCACCAGTGCAATGCCCAGTTACAGAGACGAGCTCAGCAGATACAAGAGGAGCTGGTAAGAGAAAGGATCCCTTGATTTTTGCTTTATAGATACCGTATGCTGAAAAACTCATTCTTTGTGTTCATATGTTTGCCTCTGATGCTCACAGGTAATTAGTTAGGAAGCTCCTTCCAGCTCGTGAGCAGGAACTGGAGCAAAAAGGTCAGAGGGAAGCCAGCAGACTGAGTGTCAATACCAGTAATGGTGGAGAGTAGCCCTGCACCCAGGCTGGAAGCCTGCTGGATAGCTGTTAATCCTGTGTTTTCCTCAAGGAGATAGACAGGCAAATCCTATCAGCCCTCCTTGAGAAAGAAGATGAGGAGCAGTGCCGCCAGTCAGCGCGACGGGAACGGGCTGTGGCAGATGCTGCCTGGATGAAACGTGTCATTGAGGAGCAGCTCCAGTTAGAAAAGGAGAGGGAAGCAGAGCTGCAGACTATTTTCAGGTGAGTCTGCCCACCTCTGAATGCCATCTGAAGAGACAGATCCTGTGCTGAGTGGCATAACCAGTGCAGAGAGCATCTCCTCTGCTGACAGGACAGTGTGCGCTGCCATCAAGTTTCAGTCGAAGGTTTTCTTGTGGAAGGAAGACTTGTAAGAGCTTCAGCTGTAACTACCCCAGCTTTGATAGCAATGCCCTTAACTACCTGTCCCCCATGTGAAATAACATCCCTGTTAAGAGGCAGCCTCCCTCCCAAAGCCCTTCTGTGCCCAGGAATTCCTGCTGCAGGCCAGCATTTCCTGTACCTCTAAAGCACAGGGTAGCTTGTCTATGCCCATAGAGTATATAGGGTTTTCTTAACTGTAAGTAATAACCTCAAAGAGAATTCTTCCTCTCCCTTTTAGAGAAGAAGCTAGAAAGATGTGGGAGAAGAGGGAAGAAGAATGGCAAAGAGAGAAGGCAGCCAGAGATCACCTGATGAATGAGGTGAGGATCTTTTTGGATGAGGTCTCTCCGGGTTCCAGCTATAACCCTCCACCCTCCAGCAGGCCTCGGCCATCACTACCCAGGGCAGAGTTTTTCTGCTTGTCTGACTCATTGTCTCAGAACTATCTAACCATCTGCCCTGAGATTGCCCCAGTTCTGCTTCTAAAGCTGTCTTTTTCTTGACTGACCTCTCTTAATCCTCATTTCACAAAGGTCCTCGCAGGCAGACAGCGCCAGATCCAGGAGAAGATGGAGTTAAACAGACGAGCCCAAGAAGAGTCCATAAGGTATCGAGAGCAGCTGATTAAAGAACTTGAAGAGGCCAAAGAGCTGACTCGTCGAGAGAAGGAGCAGGAGGAGGAACTGAAGACAGCACGGAGGCAGGAGCTGGAGGCACAGGTACCGGGTGCACCCCAGAAACACTCCCAGTTGCTGAAGGTGCCCAGTCTGTGTCTGGTCTCACTGTAACCACTCTTTTTTCTCTGTGCCCAGCTGACAGAACGGCGCTTGCAAGAGCAGGAGGAGCAGCAGAACCAGAGAGAGGAGGAAGAGGAGGAGAGATCAGCCCAGCAGCACTGCCAGGAGCTGGTGCAGCAGGAGGCCAAGCGCATGGCGGAGCAGGGCTATCGCCCCAGGGTAGGTAGCAGAGCTGTGGGGCAGCCCTGACACACAGGTGATAGCCTCAGACAGACACAATCCTCACTGCCCCTTAGTTATCACATGGCACCAGGGCAGAACACTGGGCCTGTTCCTTGGTACTATTTCTAACACTAGTCTCCCTCCTTTGCACGTGTGCAGAATGTGAATTCTAGGGCCCATCAAGTAGTTACTGTCTTTGTTTTGACCCCATTAGCTCTACAGTTACCCCAAAACAGCGTGGACCTGAGGATTCTTGTCCTTTGCACCTGAGGAACGGGCACCAAATGTGGCTGCAAACTACAGAAAGAAAACTTGGAAGAATCAAGGAACTTCTGAAACTGGGGCGGGGGGGGGCTTTAGAATAGCCTACAGTGACACTGAGACTCAACTCAGGGGATTTCTGAAACTATTTAGCTGTGGCCTTGCTAAAGAGCCAATTTGTACTGGCTTTGAGAGGTGGAGGTGTGAGCATCCTCAGAGGACTGAACTGCTTCAGGAGCTGTGACCATGTATTTCAGCAGGTGCTACACTGGGGCAACACAGCAAATAAAGAAGCCCTCTGGATCTGAAGAGCGAAAGGATCCAGCCTTCCCATAGGATGGGCACTGCAAATCACTGTGTTTGGAGTCAGCTCATAATGTGTGCTGCAGATCAGCAAGATAATCAGTGTTGCAGCTGTAATCCTTAACATGTTCCTCTCCAGATGGCACCAATGACTCCATTAAGTGTTGGTTTTCACTTGTTTCACAAAGAATGAATAACTTCAACCTGAACAAGCTGCTTGTTTCCTTACATGAGCCAACTCCTGCAACAGCAAGAGAGGGTTTAGTTGATCATTGCACTCGATTCCTTCCTTTTATCATTGGTGACTGTGCTTGAAATTGGTCCTTCAGCTGGTGTGGCATGTTCAGGTCCTGTCCAGTGCATGAGGAGCTGTAGAGGGGCCCTGCCACAGACAGGCATCATCACAGCCCTGCAGGTGTGACTCTGCTGGAGACACCTTTTCCAAGATCTTCTCGTTACAGAACCATCAGTCAAATAACCCCAAATAAACACTGAAAGAGTTTTAACATTTTATAGTAATACTGTAAACAAAAGATTAAGTCAAAATATTGTACAGACAAATGACACTGATAAATACAAGGTTTGGAAAAAAGGCGAATAAATTTTTTACTTTCCTATGCAGCATTTTGTAAAGAAAGAGCAGAGTTTGGTTAGAGGGGAAAAAGGGGAGATCTAGTCATAAATGACACAACCACCTTTGTTGTTTGAGGTGTTATGAATCCAAGGCCTAGTGCTGTGTGACCATAACCCACCCGGCACAAAGGTTTGTTCAGAGGCAGGGAAGTGGCCAGAAATGGTGTTTAGGTGACAGAACAGGAAATCAGTTATGGGTTGACCATGATTTTATAGCTAAAGGTAGAGCCAAATGCTTGGGTATAAGAAACCTGGAGCTGGCATAGCAAGAACAAGGGCTTGCAGCTCTCAAGGGTGTCCGTTTGGTTTGGTGTAGAAGCAAACAGCTGATAGATTACAACACAACTCCGTGTTTCCCTGGCCTGGAAATCAGGCAAGGTATCTTAAAAGCACACAGCAGTGGCCTGAGAGGCTTCAAGAACCACCTCCTGCCTGGCAATGGTGCCAAGTTAAGGAAAAGCTCCTACAAGATGATCACTGTATTTAACTGCCAGTAGCATAATTCTGAAGCAGGTTTTACGAATACCTTTTGTGGCTCTACTCCCATTTCCAGGAGGTCAGAGACACACAGAAAGGAAGTAAAAAACCCCACATTTAAGATGAATTTACTGGGTTGTGATTGACTCTCCATTCCTTCCCTCCACCTTGCACTGCTTTAAGAAGGGAGCTAACTGCAACAGGAATCCAACAGTGTTGTGGCACTGAGTGTTCAGATAAAATACAAACACTCGAGAAGGAACCAACCTCTCAACTTGTTTCCCACCAGAAGGCCTGTAGGGATGCACGGTTTGGGTAGACCCTGTGCTGCAGCCTGGCTATGGAACAGCATTTCTGACCCGAAGGGGTCTGTGAAAGCTCTGAACATTCATAGCTCCCCAACCCTGCTGCCACCTCAGCTCCCTGGCAGTGACAACTGGGACAGTTCCAAATGGGACACAGCAGAGGGAAAAATCACTGATTTCCCCCCCCATCCATGGAATTTAGACTCCCCAAAACCCTCTTAATTGTTGAAATTATGGACTGACAGATTTTGGAAGCTTTGTGAACTGTGATGAATGAAAACCCCAAAACACACAATGACATTTGTGACCCCACTGCCTTTCCAACACGCAGCCCAGCCTGGTCACTCCATACATAGCTCCTAAAACGTTAAAAGATTTGCATAAAACTTACTGGATAGAAGAGCTCTTTTCACATTTGGCTATGCTGAGGTACAGCGGTTCTGTGCTATGGCAGATAGAGCTGCTTTGCACTGGCACTCTTCTAACTTCCTTTCTTTTTCAGTGAGTACAGAGATCTTTAGTGAAAATGCATCTTGAGTCACTGAGAGATGCTGCTGCCAACCAGAGGATGCTTGAAGCTGACAATAAAACTCTGTGGGAAACTGAAGAATCAATTACTAAATCAGAAACAAAGGATAATATTTTAACCACTAATGCCCTAAAGTAACATCAAACATATATATTAATGGCATAGTGACAACTAAAAGAAAGAACTACTAAGTTTCAAATTCCTTCCAAAAAACAGATAAAGTGACAAAGACCTCGTATAGTTACACGTCATAAGCTTGGATGCCCACAACTACTCCTTGTTGTAGCAGACTAAGAACGTATTATTGCACAACAGTTGATATGGGAACAGATACTACTCGGCTCATACTCCTCCATCGGGACGGCAGCCGGTTACGGTCCTGGAGCCTTCAGAGCCTCTTTTGCTGCAGGGTTCTCAGCACCATCAGGACATGTGCAGCTCCAGGACAGAGAGCTCCAGGGGCAGGATGTGGCCCACTGGTGGACGTGGTGACTCCAGTGGGAGTTTTGCAAAGTGCTATCTGAATGCAGAACGTGGCCCCCAAGGAAACATCTAGCAAGAGCTTGAGACAACGCTGGTACGCTGTATTGGCTCGACAGCTATTTGCAACATGCTATTACCTGTAACTAAACTGGCAACACAGGCACAAAATAAGGCAGTGGGTTAAATTAATCATAAAATCGTTAGAAAACATGCAAAAATAATACTGAGGGTTTCTTAAAATAAAAAGTTTCTTGCCCCTTTAGTTCTTCCTCATAAAAATCCAAGCAGTTCCACACCTATGTCTGCAATCCAACCTCTACAAAACAGGACTAAAAAGCCAAGTGTGACTCAGTTGTTGTTCTCTTTGGTTGTGATGGTGACCAGCTGCTTGGCTGCCTTGGCAATGTCGTAGGCGCACTGGATGACCTGCTGCGTGACCAGCTGGATGTCGGTGCCGGGGCACGTCTCCACGGGAAGCGTCTTTTTGCACTCGGATTGGAGTCTGTAGGCACTAGATGTCAGCAGGCGCAAGGAAGTCCTGACCAGCTCAGATTTGGGTTTCTGGGAAAGGAAAGTAGAAGCTGAACTCAACAGAACACCAAAATCCTTTCAGGATTGCTTTAATTAGCTGGTAGTGGCTCATAAGTGATCTGTAATGTGGGACTTGTGCTGCCTCCCACACAGGCTCCTCCGCGCTGTAGGAGATGCTACAAGCCGTCGCTGTAGCACAGACGTGGAATAGGGGTGGATGAAACAAGCTCCTGGAATTTCTCCTCTCATCTCAGGGGTATTTCAAACTGCTGCCCAGCAGCACACAGGGAATACTGCTTCATGCTCTCATTTAGGAAGTTACTCACTCTAGTGCCTGTTTACTGCTACCCAGCCCACTTCCTGGCTGACGCTGGGGCTCAGCAGTGTTAGATTTTCCCTACAGCTTTTAGAGGCAGGTAAGACTTTACAAAACTTAAGTCATGGAGATTTCACTCCCTCAATTTGCTGTGAACCACAGAATCAATGCTGGATGGTACTTACTTTTGGGAACAAGGCTGCCATTTCTGTTACTGCCACATGTATCCTCTCGGAGCACGGTATATAACTGCAAAAAGATGGATTGTGTTACTCATCGTGTAAAGATTCCCCTTTCCTCCTCAATCCCACTGCTCAGTGGCTATTATTCCAAAAACTGAGTAACAAAACATATTAATATATATTCTACAAGTATCTCTGCAGGCTGCAGTGAGGGCGATGGAAGCAGCTAGTGCAGCACACAGCACGGTGACTCTTGGTGTGTCCTCAGCACTGCCCTGCACACTTCAGCACACACTTGTGTAGAGCACCACATCTTCAGAGAAAAGCAAGAACTTAACCAGTGGTATGGAACTGTGTCTGAAGTTTTCATTATTCTTTGATCAAAGTTTGTTTAAAGGCATGACTGTTCACAGCCATTATACCAAATGTGCTCAGAAAAGGTCTCAATTTGTTTGCAGCTATGGGATTGGGCCCATGAATATTAACTACCCATTAAAGCAAACAGTTTCCAAACCTCCCCCATGCCAACTATCCACATCATCCAGAAAACTGCTCAGCTCCTTCTGTTCAGCGCATGCACAAGGATATTCTAGTGTGAGGTGTGGGAGTGTGGCCAAGCAAACCCATCCACGCCAGCCAGGCACAAAGTGAAGTAAGATTCTGCAGCTTGAAAACATTTACACAAAATCTGGTGATACAGAGGTTTGGGAGAAAAAAACAACTTGTTTTCCTCAGTGCAGATGATCAAAAGGAGAATAAAAACCCCAAACCACTCTGTATGTGGGATCTGAGTGAGTTTAACTTGCTGCCACCTGAGGGAAATCCCTACCCATTTGTTCTGAAAGAGCTTTTCCTCCATAAGGCAAGAGACTGCAAAACCAAAGAACTGAAAGAAAAGCTTTTAAACTGTTAATGATGCAAGAGCTGAAATCATCCAGCAATCCTGGAAGAAAATCAAAGACCCCAAAGGTGTTACAATTGATTTTAGTTTCAGAGTTGAACTATGGCCATCCAAACTCTTGCACATGATCTGATAGCCAAAGGTTGCTGTGTACAGAACTGTCTTGGCTACCCCTCTGAAGCAATGGGGTTTTCCTGCTCTTCTTTTCCATCTGTAACTTAAAGAAGAAGCCTTAAAAACCCTACTTTATACTCAAAACCTATTCAAAAGCCATCAGTTCTGAGCCCCTCTGAGCCATCTTTGTTCAAAACAGATCTTCACCACAAAGCTGCTTTGAAGATCTGTGTTAGTGTGGCCTGTCAGAAACCTCACTGCAGAAGTCTCATTTTTATACTTCAAAGACTCAATTGTAGCATTAAGTTCATTAACATCATTCACTCTCAAGCAAGAGCATCTCAAAAAATCCCAAAGCAAAAGCATTCAAGAATATTCAGCATCTGTAGATTATGGTAGATTATTGCTCTTTCAAGCACAGAAAACCCCAAACCCAAACCAGCACCCTCCAGTGCTTCATCCTGCAACACCAAGGATGCCAAAACAGGTTACTTGCAAATGCACTGAGAAAGAAGCAACACACCGGGGTCATTTTGGCTATGCAGGAAAACTGCTATCAAAAGGAGTATTTCCATATGTCCCAAATCATGAGTTCTTCCAAATGAACTAAAAGCAGAGAGAAGTCTTCCAAGCTCACTGGAATTCCTGTTCTGTGCTTGGGTTAACGATCAGTTTGCTCCCTGCAAGCACTGCCCAGCACAATACCTCATACAAAAGCCAGTTGGGTGATTAAACCATTTGCTTGTGGGGCAAAGAAGGCCCCAGTCACCACATGAAGGAGAGAGACCAAGATTAACAACAGGCATTTCACAGCATGCTGTCCAGGTCAGCTGCAGAGCTGGTGGTGTGCCTGAGGAACAGCTTTAGATAGTCTAAACACTCCCTGTAAGCTCAGGAAATAAGCTGACATGTTTGTGGAGTTTACACATTTGAAGGTGTCCTACAGGCCCTTGTCCCAAGCCCCTCTCCAGGTTTCCTGCAGCCCCTTTAGGCACTGGAGCTGCTCTAAGGTCTCCCCTTCAGGAGCCTTCTCTTCTCCAGGCTGACCCAGCCCAGCTCTCTCAGCCTGGCTCTGGAGCAGAGCTGCTCCAGCCCTCACAGCATCCCCGTGGCCTCCTCTGGACTCACTCCAGCAGCTCCACATCCCTCTTGTGTTGGGGACCCCAGAGCTGACCACTACCATCCAAAGCACTTCATGCATGGCCTTCAATGACCCCTGTGCAGCTGGTGCATGAGGGAAAGAGGCAGCAGAGAGCAAGAGAAAGGACACTGTGCCTGGGAGGCAGGGGCAGAGGCCGGAGCACCAGGAGGCAGGACGGGGCTGCTGGATGTTCAGGGGAGCTCTCCCAGCACAGCCAAGGCCGTGCCTGAGGCTGCGCACAGTCCATGTGCTCTTGAGTGGTCTGCTTGAGTCAGTGCAGGGAATAGAGAGGAAAACAAGGAGGAAAGGAAGGAAGTTGTTTCATTAACAGCTGATAGTCTTGCATCACTTTATTACTCTCTGATAATCTATTTGGTGTGTGATTTTTATCTACAGTGTCCCCAGTACTAGCTTGGAAGATGCACTGCTGCATCCCTATGGATCTCACTTTGATAAGGAAGCAATCCCCTCTGCAAGGAGAGGATGGCAGAACAAGCCTGCTCCATGTTCTGCGTGTCCCCAGCCCTCTGAGACAAAGCCTGGGGACAGGCGCACACAGAACAGCAGCTTCACAGCTGATGTTTTGCAGGATTACACTCATTTTGGTGCTGGCAAACAGCCCGCTCCACAGGTGGTACAGGAGAGAAACGAAAAAGAAGGGAACAGGTTGCTAAAAGTTTATGTAATTTAACAGTAAAAGTGCTGTTTCAATGACTTTGGAAAAAAGAAAATAATGGAATTCCAATCCTGTAAACTGGGACATCCATAAACCCCAAACTCAATTAAAACTCCTCTCACTGTTGCTCCTCTGAGAGAAACAAACAACAAGGGATTGCAGTGGAAAAGGTTACTGCCAAGGGCATGGAGCTCAGCACAAACATGCCAGGATTCGCCATCCAGCGTGAGGAGAGGATTCCAAAAATAGAAAAGAACAAGAAGGGAAAAACATGGAGCAGAAGTGGCCCCACTGCACCCCCCAGGGAAGGCGTGAGCCACCAGCCACTTCCCATGGGTAAAGGCAGGCACAGCTGCCTCCTGGTTCTCAGAGCCCAAAGCTGCTCCAGATCCAGGAAGACCCAACTCCTATTTACAGCCTTCCAGAGGAACAGGGCAGGAGCAGCCCCTGACAAGGTCAAGGGCAGCATCACTTTTACTCGCTCCCCATTATCTGGAAAATGAATTGCTCAGTTGGGCCAAAGCTTCCTGAGGGTGCTGGTGCCATGTGCCACCCAACAAAGTCCTGCTGACTTCGCTCTGAGCCTAAACCCCACAGTTCAAACTACCTCTTCCTGGTGTGTTATCCATACTAACCTTTCAGTAGGAAAGCCAAATGCTCCCTGACTTCAGGATTTTTCCCTGACACAAGACCCAGTGCTGCTGTCACACTTCTGTGGGTGTCCTTGCCCAAGGACACCGAGGTCTGAAGCTCCAAGTTGTCTCCAACACATTTGATTTGTATCTAAACCACCATTTCACAGTAGGACCTCACAAGTGCTGTGCTCACCCGCACCCACCAGCTGCGGGCAGGATGGGCAGACAGCACTGCTGGCAGAACCCACTTGCACACAGCAGCACTGACATTCTGGATGGGATCATGTATTCCCACTGCCAGTCACCCATCCTTGCTCACCCTGCGGCCCACACGTGTTGTAGGGGTGAATTCAGCATCTCCAGTGTTAGCACGGGGTGCGGTGACCATCCTTACCAAAACACGCAATGAACTGTCTTGGTTTTCCCCTCGAACTCCGCAGCTTTGTCTCCCTCACACCTTACCTGTCGTGCTTGTTCTCCTGCGCCGCCCGCAGCAGCTCCTGGATGTTCTTCGTGATCTGCTCCGTTTTCCGAATCACATCTTCCGTACTGGGCAAACTGGAGCTGGGGGCTGTGTCCGTGTCTTCAGGGATGGATCCCTCCCCCTGCCAGATGATGCTCCTCTGCCGGCCCTTCCTGCCCGACCTGCAAAGGACCATGCACGGGTCAGCCCTGGTGTCAAGGCAGCATGGGGCTGTGCCAACAGCACCGCATCACCGCGGCATCAGCTCTGCACCGTGGCACCTACCCCGTCTCCTCCAGCTCCAGGGGGGTGGGGGGGTTGTCGTAGTCACCCTCGGACACGCTGCTCTGCTTCTCCAGCTTGGAGGCCTGCAGTGAATACAGACTTGGTTTGGTGTTTGGTTAAGAAAGGTGAGCCCCATGCTATGCCAGCTCCATGACCCTGCTATAGCCCCTGTGTCTGGGAATGCCAAGATTCACTGCAGATTGGAGGCTGAAATGGGAGTGCAAGACCAAAACAGGGAGAGTTGAGGCCCACTGCAGATTGGAAGCAGCTTGGCACCAGCTTGGCACATCCCCATCCCTCAGCCAGGCCCCAGCATCAACACACATCCACCTACTCCTGCCTTAAAAACTGCAAAGCTCATCAGAAGTGCCTACCACAGCTTGACCATTTCCAGGGCACCACATCTGCCTCACTCCACACACGAGCAGCCTCTGCATCAGCTCCTGCCTTGGTCACACACGCTGCTCAGTAACAGGGTCCTCCACAATCCCCACTGAAGAACCAGCCTTGGAGCTTTACAGAAACTCTGACATCAAGGTGAGGGAATCTCAAGTGTTCGACAAAGAGCCATTAGCATCCCTCATCCAGACACTTAGGAAATAATACTTCTACCTCTAGGACAGGCTAAAAATGTGACCAGCAATTGGTTTTCATTGGCTAAGAGCCAGTACTTGTGTTAAGCACTCATCCAACATTGAAACCAGCAGTTCTTAACTCTGAAGCACCTGGAATGTGAACACTTTCCCACTTCCCATCCATTTTAAAGCTACCCTGCATAGAAGGAAAGAACAAACACTTCCCTGAACGCTCACCTCTTAGGCTAGTGGAGATCAACTGTAACATGACATATTTTGAAGATACAGAACTATTACGTGTCAAACCTGACCTTTCTCTTCTCCCAGACAGAGGGGAGCAATATGATCAGTGGCAAAGCTCTACACAGAAACAACTGACAGCAATGAATTACAAGAATCAGTAACAGGCTATAGAATCAGAGTACAACAAAACCAAATAAAACCTCTGCAGCTTTCTGGTACCACCCAGTTCTGGTCCCAGCTGCAGCCAAACCCAGATTTGTACCTGACCAAGCAGGATATCCCTTGGAAGTTTCACCATCCAGCCCTACTCGCAAATCTGATGCTTTCTCAGCTGAGATGTCCAAATGCTGTACAGCCAAAACAAAATGGGACACAGGAATTTAACAAGCCGGGTGTGTGTCCTGGCAGGAAGAGCCCAATGCATGAACGTTCAACATCGAAACCCACAGGCTTGACTTTTGAGAAGTTTAGGATGATGTAGTAAAATCTGATGGGAGACTGCAACACTCGCCCAAGAAACAGAAGGAGACGGTGCCAATTTCCTCATCGGAACCACACAGAAAGAGCAGAGCAAAAAGAGAACTTTTGTTGAAAGATCTTTTCAAATTCAGGCAAGTCTCACAAAGAAATGCAAATACCTCCCTCAGGTTTACTCTTGGAAAGTCTTCTTCTAATACAGAACTAAGCAAAGCCTAAATCTTGAACATGAGACAACAAAACAGGTATAAGCTACTCATTATTTTCTAAGAAACGAGACACAAACGTCTAAACCCAGCCCAAAAGACCTTGTATTTATATTTGCTTCAAAGTCAGAGAGGTTTACCAGAGAGACCTTGAAATGTGTTCCACTCATCCTGATGGTGAAGGTACTTCTGGCAACCAGTGCAAGCTCAGGCCGAACAGCAGCACAAGACCATGGGCTGTTTGTCTTCAGCACTCATCAGCGTGTGACATGCTAAGCTGTACCTGCTTGGGATGTGGCACTTCAGTCACAGCCCCTTCTCAACCAAAGATGTTATTCTAGAGCTGCACATGCAAAGTGCTTTCCCCTTCTCTTGAAGGTGTGGCTTGCAATTAGTTCAAGGATCTCAGATAAAACAGCCTGAAAAGAAGCTGTGATGGACAGACCAGCTTATCGAACTGCTGGCCTTGCTAAATGTGAGCTTCTGCACGGGGGCATTTCTAGCAGGTTCATTTGAGTAAGACTAGATTTAAGTGTTCTACTACAAAAAAAGAACAGTTTAAAAGCTGGATGAGGCTTCCTCACATAACTAACAGCTCATATGAGGCCTCAGCAAAGGGTCTTTGGAATAACATCAGCTTACAGGATGCATTTAATGCTTCTTGGTAACACTGCAATTTTATTCTTAGAATCAGTACTGCAGCTAACAAAACCCCTAAGAACAAGGTTCTGTAGATCCAAAGGAACACCAATATAAGCTTCCTCTACATACTCTCAGTGTCTTTAATCTGCCCTAAAAGAGTCTTGCTAAAATCAGTTCCTGTACCCACTCAGTCTTTGTGAAAGGCAGCATAAGGCTCACTGACCCTGCAGTGTCTCAGTGGGCAACAGAAATGGCTGCTTGGAGGTTTAAGGAACCCGCTTCAAACAAACTAATGAACATCTGTAAGATCAACAGTCAATCAGGACCAGTCTGGATCGATGCAAACTGGCAGCCCCCAGAGAAAGCAGGTTTAAAGGCAGGGTCCAGCGAGCTTCAGAGGCCGCATGCAGTGCGTTTAGTCAGGAGGAAGAGTTACACATTGGCTTATGAAACAGCAGTGAGCATCTGCCAAATTACTTTCCAAACAGCAACCAAGTTCTCTTCTGTCTGTTTTCAGTGTTATGCAGCTGAAGAAGTGATCTGGAGTGACTGTGCATGATGTTAAAGCTGCTGAAGTTAGAGAGAGGCAAGTATCCACAGCGTGTGGCAGAAGAGAGGGATGCAACACTGCTCCATGCAAGCAGTCAGCATAAAAGTGGAAAAGACAGAGGCAGAACGGCTCTGGGGAGATGGCCACCTCCTCCAGGAAAAGGACCAATTGGGAAGGTACTTAACCCTTCGTGTGCTTTCATCCCTTGACCAGGAAAGCGTGGAGGGGAAGGAAGGTAGAGATGAAGAGGAGGTCACAAACGCACTCCTCCCGATCTAAAAATGGGAAAGAGAAAATAACTCGGGGAAACCAAACCAAAACAAACAAATTCTTAACTGAAATCAAGGAACATTCTTAAAACCATGGCAGTGACAAAGCAGGAATGATTTTCAGAATTTGGCTAAGCCCGAGTGGATTTAGTTCTTTCAAAATACAATTGACTTCATGTTAATTCTAACACTGATATTCCAGAGGTGCTGAATTCCACAGAGAATAATACACATTCACCCCAATACAGAATTAACTCCACAGAACCAATCTGCTTCAGAACTGCTATTTCTACCCACACCTCAAACCAAAGGACCCCTAACAAAGTGCTGCCACATTTTGCAAGCACCACCACATACAAAAGAACTGTGACACTTCTGCCAGAGCTGCCTGCATCTCAACAAGCCAATAGAATTGCAAATGATCCAGATTTTATAGCTTAAAGTTCTTATTAATTTAACTGAGGGTGGGGAAAACCCAGCATACAGATTCCTGCACTGATTCCCTGGTGCACTCATCCGTCTCCTTTGGAATGTGCCAGGAACATTTGCCCTCCTTTATGCCAGGCAAAAACCCCACTAACTTCCAAATATGTTTTTAAAGGGCTCAATTGTTTAACTGGAAGATGGTGCTTCCAACAGGGAAGCATACTGAAACAGATCCACAAATGTTAAATATGTGCCTAAAACTCACTGTCCCACATTCCCACCTCCAGGGCCATCTAAAAAGATGCAACAAAAATTCACTTTAATAAGCACTAGTGTGTGATGTGTCACTTATCCTGAGTGCAACCAACACAGTGCAAACCCACAAGGGTTTGCTAATACAGAACTAATACAGTACTCCCCCTCTGCTACTAGCACATTGTACAGGAAAATACTAAACCTGGAGAATTCAACCAATTGATTTTAACCTTCTTCAGCCTCCAGTTCCAAACTCGGAATAAGGAATTAGTGGCCTAGTGAAAATTTAGCTTAATTTTATGTTTGGAAGGTGGTTCTGAAGTTCCACAATGGGTACATGACTGTATATCTCAAGAGAGGAAGGCATGAACTTTACCTTTCTGGAATACTATATCCCCCCACCCCGGTTTTCAAACAGCCACACATTGATATTTAGCATATAAATTGGTTAAAAGAAAGAGCTGAGCAAAAGCTCCAGTTTACATACTCCAGGATTGTTATAGTTTTTCCTTTGCAACCCTCAAGCTCCTGCAGACATGTTAATACAGCAAACATGAAATATCTGTTCAAATTCAAACACTAACAACAGTTCAAATTCACCCTGAAGCAGACAGATGAGCACCTCTGGTACACAAGTATAGCTGGAATAGACAGAAAAGCTGAATATGAGAAGAAATGCAGAAGCATCAGCAGTTTTACTTACATGTGGAGGGAAAGGCTGCAGTCGTGTTATGCTTTCTTCTGGGTATGGAACCTCTCCCATGGGGAGGTAGGGTTTCTGACCTGATCCAGTCTCATACATGGACATGGGTCTGCTACCACGTGCAGATGGTCGTCGCTTTAAAGAAGAATTGTTGGTAGGGTCTGTGTACTCAGAACCACTTTGGACCTGATATATATTGGTTGTGGCCTGTCTTCTGAGGTTGGTATTTTCACTCTGTAGCGTTTGAAGCTGAAAGAAATGTTTAGCAGTGGGACTTGGTTTTTCTAATGGCAAGTGTCAAAAGCAAACTGACTATATAATACACAATCAGCTTTACTAGTAAATCCCATTACTAGTAGCTGGGGGTTGATTTCTTTGTTCAAAATCTACTTGACTTGCATAGAAACATTTATGTTCCAGATCAGGAACTATTTATGTGCCGATTTCCAGCACTTTTTGCTGGGATGCAAGCTAAATGAAACAGGAAAATCAGCTGTTGTTAAATCCAGTTTCTTCCAGCCTGGCTGTACTGGCACATGGAATGTGCTAGAATGAGGCTGGGGCAGAGGGACTGCCAACAAGACAGGTTTTCAAGCAAAGGGCTCCATATTTCAGCAGTTGATACAAGAACTTAAAAGAAGACTTTAACACGAGGCCCATGAAATCTAACAACGCCAGAACTACAGCACAGACACCAGAGGCAGCGCGAAGAAGATTGGAGCTTGCTCTGCAAAGCAAGAGGAGAGTTTAGCTTATGGAAATCAAGGATCAGCTACTGCTTTCTAAGAAGCCAACAGGGAATAACTTTAAAGCTTTTTATTACTATGCATTTGATGCATAGTAAAGATGCAGTAATTCTGATTTTTTTTTGGCGGAGTTACTCAAAGTTTGCTATATTAACACATCATGAAGAGGTAAAAAAAAAAAAAGACAGAATCAGCAATTCTCTACCAATAACTGAGTATATTTCCAACAGCTGCTGGACTTTCAAACAGGAAAGTGCATATTTACTAATGGCATTTGCTTTGCATCATATGAACCTTCGAGAGCATTACTCCTATCAGGAAAACCCTATTTTGCCTCGAGCACTTCTCAGAACCCTACATCAAATGTGCTGACTGCTGTTCAGGGTTTTTCTCCCCCGCTTTCTGTGGCTCTGTAGTAAGATGCACCAAGGCTTCAGATGTGAGAATCAGCCAGGAGCCAAGCTACCCCTTTAAAGTTTGCCCTTAGAAGCAATTCAACAGGTCAACCTTATACTCTCCTTCTTCCATACATCTACACATTATAAATGTGCTTTTGGTGCAGTTTTAGCCAGAGCTAATGCAAACTCACACCAAACTTAACCACATAGAAGCAGGTAGGGAAAAAAAAAACCCATAGCTTTTTCCAATAGAATATCCATTAAAGTAATTAAACTATTTTCATCTTTGTTTAGGAAGAACCTGCTCTGAATGGGCATTCATCGAGTGTAGCTTTGCCTCTTCTTTAACATATTTTGCTTAGTAATTCCCATGCAAAAGATGATCTCATTAGCAAATGTGTATGTAAAGTGGACAGATCGTTTCATATGACCTAAGCTCTTGCTTAGAAATCAAACAAACCAAACCCAAAGAGACTCTTGAATGGACAAATACGCTGTTGTCTCGCCACAAATAACCCAGCAGAGAATTCCCATGTTGTACCGGAGCTCCCAGGAGCTTTGAGTCAAGCCCTTCCATGCATTCTGCAGTGCCCCACTGCTGTATTGATGCCTCAACCTGAGCCACCAACCACCGAGTTAAAGCCTTGTAGTTACAGACACCATTAGGACACGGAATCAGTGAACTCACCTCCAAGGTGAGAACACCCTGGCTACATCCTTCAAAACACCTTCAGCTGCAGCACAGCCACCATCTCTTCTCTGCTACACCACATAAATACACTAAAGCCTGGTTAATTCATAGGCCCTAATCCTAAATAGACTATAACTGTCTACAGAAAGTCACTGGAAGTGAAAAGTTAATTCAACTGATGCAGATAAATGCTTAACCAGTACAAGCTGTTAACAGACAAGGGAAACACCCTCAGATCTCCCCAGTTCTTCTCAGTATTCACCATCCCAATAGACCTGAAAGGCTGAACATAACTGTAAGAGAAGGATGGCACTTAACAGACATGGATATTCTGATCTGCTGAACTAGCTCAGCCTCAAATGCTAAGAGCTCAGCAGTTCCCACCACTCTCCAAAGCATCAGCCTCTTTGCCCCAAGACAATGGGGGAACATGCTCTGGGCATGGGTTCACCTGGGCAGGATCACAGCTTAAACAACTTTCCCTCCAGTGAGGGAGCTTTCTGCAGCACACAATGGAGCCTAGCATCCCTAGGCTAGCATGACAGACAGGAGAATGAATGCAATAGACAGAAATTCTCCTTTACACCATTCTATTTACCAGAACACAGGCAAAGCATCCAACAACTTGATTTGTTTCCATAAGGATTAAAAGGTTTGGCTTCTGAATTGCCACATTTCAGATTATTTTCTACTGCATTTGGATTTTAATCTCCCTTCATTCCAACTGGGTTTATGAATGGAAAAAAAGCCAGTATATTTACCAGAAAAGCTGAAAGTACATCATATAGTTATGTATTTATGTGTGCACAGGTAAGACTATGACAGCATTGACTTCCTCATTGTTGAAAGCTGCTTATCTTGAAGCAAGACAGCAAAAACATACGAGGTTTGTAACAACTGCGTTGCCAATTGGAAAACTTATGTCAAAAGGAACCAAGCAGATGATCACCATCTCCACAATAAAACATTTGAAGCATGTACTGCCCTTACACAGTTATAGTCTTATATCTGATTCCAAAGCAGCTCCATTTAAAATGAGTTCTCACTATCCTAATATTGGATTACTGCATTTTCAGTTTTATTCTTGTCAGCTTAAAATACATTGAGAGATGAAGGGATTGCACTGTTGGGCCCATTACCTTTTTCTGCATGATCCTCAGCTCATCACTCAGGTTGATGTTCACTTTCATTAACTGCTGAATCTTCACTTCTGAAGCCACCAGTGCATTTTTAACTTGCATGTATTCTTGGGCTGTCACTGGTCCATCCGACAAGTCCGAATCCAGGCTCTGGGAGCAGGAAGAGAAAAGTACACCATTGAGGAACAGATTACCCAAAGAAAACAGGACAAGGATGTGAAAAGCTCTTGAAACCTCATTACTTTATAGGAATCACAGTTCAAATTAAGTTCAAATAAGATCTATTCATTAGAATAATTTTAGTCCAATATAAATGAAATTGGATCTCAATCAGCTTTTAGCTCAAAAGCACAAATGCACAAAACCATTTGTCTCAGCAGATCAGTGACACAACACTGTTTCAGAAGGATTTAAGAATATGCAATAAATAAACCAGACAGTCCTAAGAGACAGATCCCTAAATACCACTGTGCACATCACCAGGGAAGATTACACTAGTACTATAAGGTTTACTGCCCCTCTTTTACCATGCTGCTTTATTTTCAGGAATGGTTTAAACTACTCAGTCAGTACTGGTCTGCTGCAAATATTTCCCCAGTAGGAAGCAGTAAGTCTTGGTGAAACAGCACGGAATCACTGATCAGGAGTGTTCTGGTAGATCCAATTATTTCATCTGTGCAATTAGGTCTGTATCTTATCTCCAGACACACACAGTGGCACACAGTACTTTTCTGGTCATTTGTGCACATTAAATCCCGTCACAAGGGGAAAGTCTGAGTGCAGATTACTCCATGAATAACATCTGGTGTGTGTATAAATGTTTCAAACCTACCTTCTGCCTGTTTGATTTAGCTGCATTTGTTTCCAGATCCGTATCCTCATCTGAAGCAACGCTGTCATAATCAGGCTGGTCATTGTCCTGACTCTCACTACTATGCTGACTGCTGATTGATTTGAGAATCAGCTCCACGTTTTCTGTAGATCAAGATACAGCATTTATAAATACGCTAGTGGGTTTGGAGAAGGCAGCGAACTGGCAATAAGCTCAAGAGCATCTAAATCACAGCAAAGTCCTGCATGCACAGAGCAGGCAGGAAAGCCAGCACCTAAACCACTGATGTTATCCTAGATGCCAATCAAAAGAATTATCACTCAAACTGTACAGGACTATTCTAGAAAGTTTTACCAAGTAATCATAAAAATCCCAACCATCCTGGATTGCACATGTCCTACCTGATTTAACTGTATTACAAAGTCCAACATTTACACACAAATCTTCTGTATTTGGGCATTCTTTTGGTGGCCTAACACATGCCAATAGCTACATGATTTAGTTCTTATGTATAAAAGTCTTTCTTTCTTCATTAAGATACAGATAAACTAACAACCAAAAACATTCTCACCTTTTGAACCAGAGAGAGGATTCCCCTGTTGCCTCCGTTTGGCATCACTTAAAATATCTATAACTAACGTAGCAAATTCATGGGCATTAAATCGAGCCAGTTTCTGCCTTCCCTAAATCACAGAATAATGGAGAAAAAAGCAGCACATCATGTGTTAGACGAAGAGCAGAGCTCCCAGGTAAAAAACACACAACAGCACTTACAGGAAGGAGTGTGCAATTGCATTTATTGCAGAAAGTGTGATTTAAAGTATCCGTCTGCACACTCCAGGGCAGAGGAAGTACAAAACTATTTTAACCTCTTTACATGTAGATGCAACTCTTCTACAGTAAAGAAGTGCAGTAAACCAGTATTACATCAAATAGCTGGCTTATTGAATATAAATAGTTTTACAGTATTAAGAAGGTTGCCTACCTGATTCCTGGTTGAGGAATATTCAGGATTTACAGGAAGAAAAGGGACCACTGTGGTCTCTGTCACAAGTGTACTGTGGTTCTGAGTAGCAAGCCAAACTGCTCAAGGAAGAGAAAAGAGGGAATAACCTTCCTGTACTATTTGACAGTGTTTCTTGTCAAAGAATAAAAGGCCGCAATCTCAAACCCAAAGAACACCAATTCAGAGGGAAGCTTTTTGCCCCAGAGGGTTCTCTACTTGGTAAAAACCAGAAGTTTTTTCAATTGATGTCACATTCAGACAATGCAAGACAAAGAAACCACCATTATGAGCAATTACTGAATAGAGCAGTGCTTTAGACAGAACATGTGCTTGCCCTAGGATCTTGTATGTGAGAATTCACATTCAAGCCTCACTCACCTGCGTCGGTCTCCCTCCTGTCAACTTCATCATAGACATCCATGGCAAGTTCTTCAAATAAGTGGTTGCTTAGCTAAGGGTAGAGGAGAATAGTTCGAGCTTGAACATAAACAAAACACAAGACCTCTATAAACAGAAAATGTAAGGGCAGAACTCCACTGTTGCTTTTCAGCCTATATGACTGGTTCTTAGCTTGCACAGCAAAGTAATCCATGACACAGACATATACGAGCACCCAACTGCTATATACAGACAGCAGCACTGTGCTACGCTTTTCCTTCACTAGTTAATGAATTTTTCCTCTCCTATCTGATCACAGAAAGACTTGATGTATTCAGGATAAAGCAGACCTACTGTGGGAAGCAGGTATCCAACTGACACTGCAGATGTGGGTTTGAGTGAGGACTCACAACATGCCTGTGTGTTTCAAACTCTGCTTCTATAGCAGACGGTTCAAGAGAGATAACTGTGTGATAGCAAAAACCTTTAAGTAGAAAGAAAATACATCCTCACTCTTAACTTAAACAAGGATGTGGTCACCCACACTTCAGTCAAAATAGTGAGCTGGCATTGCTAGCAACTAATTAGCAGAGACTAATGCACTAGTCTGGCTTTCCAGAAAGCTAAAGGCAAATAGCAACATTTAGCATACAGATTTATATCAAACAGATGACAGCAAGACAAAGCGCACGGTTCTGAACTGGGGAGACAGACCTTGAGATACTGCCTCAAACAAGACTATCTCTGTCATGGATTTGTCATCATCTTTGTTCCTCCAGCTCTGCCTATTTTCATGTTTTTCTCCATATTTTCAGCTGGCTGGAGTTGACATTTATTGATGCAGGAATTAATAGAAGCTGAAGCCAGCCTGAAAGATGAAGAGCAGCATTCACCACATCTAGACAAAGAAGTTTTACTTACAGACTGAAGCTTCTTCTTGGCTGCCTTTGCGAGTTCTGACAAATCTAGACTGCTATGAAAACAAGAAGTGATCATTACATCTACAGCATCTACCAGCTTGTTGAAACACAGACTCTACATTTTGGCAATTCAATGATGAAATGTCACTTTTACTTGAAACTCCTTGAATCTTTCAGTATTTTAACAACGTTTTTAACACACTGATCTTACTATTATTGCTAACATCACAATTAGCATATGCTTAAGCTTTTCCTAAACAACTTAAAAGAATCCTAAAGACCCTTTGGAATACAAATAGCCCCATCTGCGTAGCTCAAGCCACAGTCAAGCTGTAGTGCAACAAAATGCCTTCTGTGAGGCATCTGAATAATATGGTCATTCTGACCACAGCTCCAGCCCACATAAAACACATGGGGCTTGTTCCACTGGGCTGTGCAGGACGTGGGGGAGCATCAGACTGGCAAATGGCCACAGCAATAGGGCCATGCTTAAAATGATTCTGCATTCATCGGTAAATAATCTTTTCCACTGGTTTCCAGTCTTGAACATGAGGCACAAGATGAAAATTGTGCAGCTCAACAGAATTTATCACCAGAGCCAGAGATCAGGAAGCTGATACCTTGTGAGTCCACGTTCATAGCACCCAGAGGAAGACTCCCCTGGGTGTCTACAAGGCTGCAAAGGCTCAGATAAAACCTCTGTATGATTAACTGATATTGCAGAGAGTCACCAGACAAGTGGGGAAAAAGGAGAAAGACCAGAGCAGAGAACATGAGGCAGAGGCGAGGCAGGTTGTACTGCAGGCTCTGCGCTCTCAGCAGCGCCTCTTAACAAGTCCTTTTCTCTACATGTCAACTTCCTCCTCTGTGCTACAATGGAAATGATGTTTACTGTACTCTGCAGAACACACTGCACTGAAAATATACAGTATTTTATCCAATAGCTAAACACAGCTTATCTAAAAGAACCACAGAAGTTAACACTGAGTATTTTACCAACCATTACACAGTTCCTATCATTTTACGAGTTTTTCATAGCAATTTTGCAAGCAATAAATTGAACAGTAATTTACTCACAGCCGCCTTATTCCCAATTGCACAGCAATGAAAGAAAAATAGGGACTTAGGATTAATACTTGATATGATTTATACAAAAATTATTTCATTGATTGTAACCAAAAGTTAAAAGCACTCAAGTGATCTAAATTATAAATACTTCCAGAGAAAAATGCAGCTTTCTTGCAAGTATTAGTTTCAAAATGCTGTATCAGGAACTCAATTGGTCCTAGAATTATCTACAAAATCTTTTCCCCAGGAATCCCTATGTTCCCTTAATATAATTGTCCTACCTTTCCTCTGCATTTTAACAAATACATTCAGCTTCTTCAGTTTTGTGATTTTGTTTAAATGACAATATTCTAAGGGAATAAAAAAAAAAAGCCTCTAAGAGTGACAGAGGCACCAAAGACACACATTAAAGAGTTAGAATAACAAGAAGCTTTACAGTTGCTTCAGAAATGAAAGGAAACTTAATGTTTTCAGCCATGCTGTGGAATCAGGGTCTTACCTGTCTGCCATCTGAGGTATCACAAAGTGCTGTCCATTTTTATGCTCTAGAATTTAAAATGGATTGCATTTTAACAGGTTGTTACTGGACTGTAGTTTCAATGTTGTCTGGATATACAGAGCTGATATTCAGTGTTACTAAAGACACAGCAAGGAGAACCCTAACAATACATGCAACAGACAAACACAGTAATTTATCTTGCATGTAATAACTCCATTTCATAGAATCATAGAATAATTAGGGTTGAAAAGGACCTTAAGATCATCCAGTTCCACCCCCCCTGCTGTGGGCAGGGACACCTTACGCTAAATCATATCACCCAAGGCCTCGCCCAACCTGGTCTTGAACACTGCCAGGGATGGAGCATTCACAACCTCCCTGGGCAACCCATTCCAGTGCCTCACCACCCTCACAGGAAAGAATTTCCTCCTTAGATCCAATCTAAACTTCCCCTGTTTCAGTTTTAACCCGTTACCCCCTGTCCTATCACTACAGTCCCTAATGAAGAGTCCCTCTCCAGCATCCCTATAGGCCCCCTTCAGATCCTGGAAGGCTGCTCTGAGCTCTCCACGCAGCCTTCTCTTCTCCAGGCTGAACAGCCCCAACTTTCTCAGCCTGTCTTCATACAGGAGGTGCTCCAGCCCCTGATCATCCTCGTGGCCTCCTCTGGACTTGTTCCAACAGTTCCATGTCCTTTGTATGTTGAGGACACCAGAACTGCACACAATGCTCCAGGTGAGGTCTCACAAGAGCAGAGCAGAGGGGCAGGATCACCTCCTTGGACCTGCTGGTCACGCTCCTTTTGATACGGCCCAGGATATGGTTGGTTTCTGGGCTGCAAGCACACACTGCCGGCCCATGCTCATTTTCTCATCAATCAAGTCCTTCTCTGCAGGGCTGCTCTGAACCTCTTCTCTGCCCAACCTGTAGCTGTTCCAGTTATAGGAAACTAGCATGTCTTAAAAGAAGGTTCCTACCACAATTTTCCAATGTTATCAAAGACTCCAGTTAAGGTTTATCAAGTATATTAACATTCTATTAAAAACAAAAAAGTTAATGTTCTATCACAGGAGCCTTTATAGCATCTAATGGCTAAAAATTTATTAGCATGCTTGTGTTCAAAAGACACCACTTAACTGAATGCTCCCCTACTTTTGCATTTCAGTGAGGAGAGGCGACTTGAAAGAGTTCCTGTATCACTCCTGCAGACTATTCAACATGCACAATACCTGTCATTTCCCTGCAATTCACTCCTTGAAGTTAAGCAGTACTCAACTGTTCTTACACATCGGTTTCTCCACATTGCCAGGGGTATTCCACTTACAGAACACATTATTTGGGGAAAATGTATTATGTAAATGAATTTTAAATGTTATAAATTTTACATCTTGTACTTTGAGTTCTTGTATGATTTATATAAACTTAGGATATTTGAAATGCATAGAAAAAGTGTACAAACGCTGACCCTAACACTGCATACCATAGTTTGAACTGTCCCATGATTAACACTGATAGATCTCAGAGAGTAGTTTCTCCCTCTCACCTGGTTTCCTGCCACAGAGGTAGAAAGCCAACCTGTCTGTGAGCTCGTACTGGATCTCCACAAGGCGCTCTGCCAGCTCATGGTGCCCCCCTTGTCTGGTTCACACACACACACACAAACAGAAGTTACATCAGTTACTCATTTTGAGACATACAACATGTTAAAAATAACCAGAAAAGTAGATTTTTGTCATCATGTGATTTATGGACATGGTGAATATATAAGAGCATCACATATGTCAGAGCCTTCTACCTTGCATAGTCAACTGGAGTTTTTCCATTGGAATCTTGCGTGCCAGGATCAGCGCCATAAACTGCTAATAACTCTGCCTGTAGAGTCTGTCCTGCCTTGGCAGCCACGTGGAGTGGGGTGTTGCCTTTCTCCTACAGGTTAGTAAGAAAAATAGCTACTTAATCAACAGGTCTGAATTACAATGTGCATCAGATGAAATCTATACAACTATTACAAACTGTAGGAAGTATTCATACAGGATGAAAGAAGTTAGCTTGAGCTCCCAAGGAAAGCAATCGCAGACACGTCTCCAGGTTCCCTGTCCTCACACTGGAATGGAGTTGCTGAAAAAGAAGCAGAATTGTACTTAAAGCAGCAGCAATTACTGTGATTGAGCATGTGTTTTTTCAGCCACGGTTTTAGAAGCAGGTATGCAAGAATGCTTGCTACAGATCTTTTGTGTAAATGTTTTTCTTCAGGTTAATCTAAGCTGGTGCCTCTCAACCACCCACATCTCCCATACCCATATATAGACCAAAACCAAAGAGGCTTCAAGCTGAAGTCAAGCTGTATTTGTGTACGTGATAGTGCTGGAGAACAGCAATAGTTAAGTCAAAAGCAACTGCTTTAATTCAGTCAGATATCACTGCTGGTACACACAAGCTGTAGTTCCTGCAGCCTGCCAGAAGACATGCACTGACCTTACTGAGATCTTTGGCAGTGACACTGTCGTCCTCACGGCACGGCAAGCGATGAACAAACGCCAACATTTGATATTTAGCTCTAATGAATTCTGCTTTATTGGGACTGTAAAGAGAATCCCAAGCAACAGAAGGGAAAGAAAGTATATATTAATGCTTTCACATTGATACAGATGGTCTAGGAAAAGGAAAATTCACAAGTGAAAACTCTATTAGATCTTTGCTTGCTACTAGTAGCAAATTAGACCCATTAAAAGCACAACCATTGCAGACTGTTTAACTACACAGAACACATTTCTGTTACAAACATCAGGACATCTGCAGACCCTAGGAGGCAGAGTGTATTTCTTACCAGTGAACACTGAACTTAAAATCATGCCAACTTAAGATATATAATTACTACATACAGCCAATACGTTTTCAAATGAAGCAGCATATTCAGTGACAGAAACCTTAGGTTTTGTTTAATTCATCAACCAATCTCAATCCCATCAGCAGAGTTCCATTAACTGAAGCACTTGGTGTGAGAATTAAAGTCTTTTGATTCAAGTACAAGTCCAGGTTTCTCACTACCCAAAGCCAGAGGTCAGGAGTCAATAGCTCAGAGAATTCGAGCAATTTGGTTCCATTTTGGCAATAAATTTTACAAAATTAATTATTGTAAACTAAAATAAAAAGGAAAAAAATAAGAAAATGAGTGAACAAATAACAGGTTTACTCCTGTTCTCTCCCTGCAATACAATTATCACCAGGTCTCCATAGATAACTTGCTGCTTCTGTCACTGCTGAATATAACAGTCACACTTCTACAGGAATAAAACCTTTGTCATTTTGCACTTACTGCACTTTATCCTGTGGGCTTGCTTTGCGCCTCCCACTCATAACAGAGGCAGGGTCCAGCAAGGAATGTTCCCATATGGAGTTTGCACCATTATTATAAAGTGTTTCCACCATCTGAAATCCAAAGTGAACACAAAGAGGCAGTAAAGGCATTTTGCTGCTAACTGCACAGACTGACTGCTCAAATGTCTGTAATTACATTCACACAGACAGCAAGCCAAGAGATGCACGTTCCATGTGCCAGCATCCACAACCAACTGGGGTATCAGAACTAGACACAGGCTTAGGAGCTTGTTACATGGAATGTAAAAAGAACCCCCTTAAAATGCTCTACTCTTCCCAACAGCAGCTCTACTGAAGAGAGGTTTGCTATATATTCAAAACCTAGGTTGAAGCAGATGTTTTACAAAAGTCTGGAAGAAAAGTTGAAAGTTTAAATTCATAGAATCCCAGCCTGGTTTGTGTTGGAAGGGACCTTAAAGCTCATCCAGTCCCAACCCCTGCCATGGGCAGGGACACCTTCCACTAGAGCAGCTTGCTCCAAGCCCCTGTGTCCAACCTGGCTTGAACACTGCCAGGGATGGGGCAGCCACAGCTTCTCTGGGCACCCTGTGCCAGCACCTCAACACCCTCACAGGGAAGAGCTTCTGCCTAAGACCTCATCTCAGTCTCCCCTCTGGCAGGTTAAAGCCGTTCCCCTTGTCCTGTCCTCACAGGCCCATGTCAGAAGCCCCATAAATTCCATACAATATTCATATATGTAGTTTTACTGAAGGAAGACACAGTTTTACGTTTCACCTGCAGCAGTGTTGGAGGCCATGGGGTGTGCTTGAGATGCCTCACTTGAGAGATGTGACGCCCCAGACTTCGATGAACACTACAGCACTCATCACAGATGAGAATCCCCCTGTTTATCGATGCCCAGCAGGGATCTGAAAAAGAACACAAATTACAACAAGGAAGGCAACATGTATGTCAAACCCAGAGTCTAAAATGAGGAGCCCTGCCTTCTAACCTCACCTTTACTGCTAAGCAGCAGTGCACATGGGCTGTGGGTGCTGAGGAAATACCAGTTCTTGTGCTTAGTGGGGATGTGGGACTCTGAGAACAACCCCACTGTTTGCAGTTCTTCCTGTGGCAATACTTTACTTTGCAAGAGTAACACGATGCTCAACTTACTACCTCCTTAAAGTGCTCACTTGTAATTTTGTGAAGTCCTACAAAAGTACAGTCTAACAATAGCACCCACCTGCTCTTTGGAAAACCTCAGAAGTCTAAAAGTAAGAAGTGGTAAAGTAGTTATGCTTCTTCTCATGCTACTCAGTCTTCAGTTCTACATTACTACTTTTAATTTCCACATTCAATAATAAAAATGCTCAAGAGTATCACATTAAAGAAACAGAGCAGGATGCATGTGCCAAGTAAAGGGTCAGTAAAATCAAAACTTGCCAAGCTAATTCACTTCAACTCCGGATAGATTCAAACTGGAGCCATCTTATAAGCAAACCAGAAAGACAACTGGTGACAAATGAAGTAGTAAATAATAACAATAGCTATTATGTTGCTTCAGACATCAGAAAGCATGAAACCGAGTAGGGATGTTACATCAGAGTGAACCGAGGACGCTAAAGTGAGGTCCTTCCACTGCTCTTAGCTCCAACTCCAGAAGAAACTCCAGTTTTCTGTCAGTGACTCATGAAACTGGACGTGCCAAGAACCCTGCAGGAACAGGCAGTGGAGTAGTGAGACAGACCTTCAGATCCGGCTCATCCCAGGAGAAAGCCAAAGGAATTCAACATCTTTTCTATTTTGGAAAATTCTTCTTGATTTCAAATGCAGAGATGATTTTGTGGCTAAATAAGTGAGTGCAACCCAAGGCTGGTATGTGATGAGAGAACTCCTGCATCCTGTCAGAATGCATCTGAGCAACTGCGCATCATAAAAGTCTTCTCTGACCCATGCAGTGAATGTACTGACTCCCTGAACAGGAGATCCCATCACTGCTGTGGTTTTTAAGCAGAGTTGATGTTGTGTGTGTGCTGAAGGCAATGTGGGCAAACCTGTTCAAACCATGAGGGATGAGAGCATCCACTCGGAGCTGATAACCATCACAGCCCAGAGCCAAACTAAAGCACAGCTTTGAGGGGGGGGAAATAACCTCATTTAAAAAGCAAATTAATAACAAGCACAAACCTCCTTATAAATCATTGCATTATTTTAACCTTCCCTTCTAAGAAGGAAAAAGCCAGCACTGAAATGAGATGCATTAGTTCTAACCTAACCCATGGAGGCTGGAGGCAGCCTTCCAGACTAATGAGCCTCGTCCCTTTTCATTACATGCAACCTTATCACACGCTCATTCATAAACTAATGGGACTCTTCTGGAAGCCAGTACTCACTCTGCCTTATCTAACAATCACCGTCAGGTTTATTTCTTTACATCCACCTCGGTACCTCACTGCTTGTCATCTCAGCTCGTGCACTCTGCCTAAAAGAACTCGCATCGATGACAGCCCACGTTCATGTGGAATCTGGCCAGCCTGTGTCAAAACCGGGCACCACTGGAACAGGGGATGGCGTGATAACAGAAAAGCAAAAGGAAAGACAACAGAGGGGCCAACAAGAAACCTGAAGAGGGGCTTTTTACAGGGTGCCCAGAGAAGCTGTGGCTGCCCCATCCCTGGCAGTGTTCAAGGCCAGGTTGGACACAGGGGCTTGGAGCAAGCTGCTCCAGTGGAAGGTGTCCCTGCTCGTAGCAGGGGCTTGAAGCTGGATGAGTTTTAAGATCCCTTCAACCCAAACCAGTCCGGGATTTGACAAGGAAACTGAGAACGTCACCATACTGGACTGAGAGAACACTCTTTGCTCCTACTAAGCACTGGGGAAGCTGAAGAAAGGACCAAGCACAGCTCAGGGCCCAGCTTAGGTGCCCAAATGATACACAGCAGAGCAGACCTGACAGCAGGCATGACAGAACTGGGAAACTCAGCACTGCAACCTGTTTTGAGTCACACTAACTGAAAGAGGGTTTTATCAGTGAAACTGCACAACGATTTGTAGCCCCTCACTTCAATCCATACCTGGCTTAGAACCAACCACTTGTTCCCAAGTTACAGATGGGGATGGGAAGGGAGAAGGAACACAGTGTTAGTCTGAAGAAACAGAGAGCAAGCCGTCAGGTTATGGGAAAGTCTGTATTTCAGGTTTAAATTTAATTCTCTGAAGTGTCTGTGCTGCTATTTATTTGAATCATTTTAAAGAGATACAATGGTGGACCCCATCAAAATACACTTAAGCTGATAGCAGAATGCAAGAGGGAAGAAGGCAGAGGACGGGTGAGCTCTGCTTTCAGGAACACACAGGGTGATTCAAAACAGGAAGCGTGTGATGAAGGCAAGGCCAAGCCATGAGCGTGAACAGTGAACTCCTGCCTCAGAATAGGAAGTACCAAAGAAGGACATGTAACATCACCTCCTGCGAGACAAAAGCATGCATGCTTCACCAGAGAGCAAGTTCTTTATATATACATATATACACACATATGGGTAAGGCAGCAGATTTCTCCACCAAGATCAAGTAAATATGTGACAGTGCTATAATGACACAACACAACAAAATGAAAGGCCATTTTATGAGATCACCCCAATGATGATTCCAGCACACTGCACTGTCCCAACGAGCTTAACAAATACACGCACAGAAACAGCTTTATCTCAACATCCAAACATCACTGATGTTTACAAGCATAGATACACTGCCTCATGTGAGATAGGGACAACTGCCCACAGGAGATACACAGCTCTACCTATCGCAAAGCCAACATTCTGTGAAGATAAAAGTAACTCCTTGGGAGTTAATTTGGGATTTTTATTATTTTTAAACAAAAGTCCTGTTTTACAAAAGTTGTTATTCCTATCTTCTGCCCATTCACACCTTATCTAGATTACAGCCTTTTAAGTCCTTTCAGTAGGGACATAAGTAATTGTATTGGGAGAACCAGCACAGAACACAAACTAGGTACCTCTGATAAGGAAAGACAACAGATAGACATAGCAGCTAAAAAATAAACAAGGCAGTTTTAAATGTAACAACAGCAGGGCTAGAGATGGTCAGAAGGGATGGAACTGACTTCCTAAACACTAGGTTTATTCCAATCAGCTCGCAAATTGACCCACGGTCAAGACTGCCATTGTGCACATCAGCACAGCACGTGTTTTATAAAAAACTCCGTGTGTTTTACAAGTCCTTTGGACAAGGGCCGTAGGGACAGGGGAAGGGGAATGGCTTTAACCTGCCCCAGGTGAGACTGAGCTGAGCTCTGAGGCAGAAGCTCTTCCCTGTGAGGGTGCTGAGGCGCTGGCACAGGGTGCCCAGAGAAGCTGTGGCTGCCCCATCCCTGGCAGTGCTCAAGGCCAGGCTGGACACAGGGGCTTGGAGCAAGCTGCTCCAGTGGAAGGGGTCCCTGCCCGTGGCAGGGGTTGGAGCTGGAGGAGCTCCGAGGTCCCTTCAACCCAAACCATTCTAGTTTCTGCGATTCCCAGCGGCAACCACCTCCCACCCCTCACCTCCGTGACTCTAGGAGCTCTTTAAACCCGACTTCCTTAAGCCAGCCTACTTTGCACCGGCCTTCCTCCTTCCTGAGCTCCAGGCTTGCTCCGACCCGGCCCCCCTCCGCAAGGCCCCCCGAGGGCCCCGCCGGTAGCCGGACCGTGCGCTCCAGACCCAGAGCCGGGGGGCAGCCGGAGCTCCCTCAGGAAGAGGCCCGCTGGAAGCGCGTCCAAACCCGGCTCCCCGCCGCGGGGCGGGTATCACCGCTACAACCCGGCGACACCCGCGGAGCCCCCCGGGGCCGCCCCGCTGACAGGAGCCCCCCGCCGCGCCCCGGTACCTCCCGGCCGCCACCTGCCCGGACCCCCTCAGCAGAGAGACACCGGGGGCGGCTCCGAGGGAGGCTCCGGGCTGCCCCTGCCGCCGGCGGTGCCTACCCGGGGCGCTGCAGTCGGCGCACACCTCGCTGCTCCTCAGGCGCTTCGCCATGGCGCGCACGGGGACTCCCGCTTCCCGCCGCCTTAACGGGCCCCGCGGCGGCCCCGCCAGGCGGCAGCGCGCTTGCGCCGAGCAGCCCCGCCCGCCCCGCCGCCGCCACCGCCGCGCCACAGCGGGAAGCGCCGCGCCGCCATGTTTGCTCCGGGCAAAGGGGCGGTAGGCTGAATGGGCGGCCATGTCTGATCCTGGCAGACGCCCGCTTCAGGCAGCACCCTGCTCCTCTGGAGAGCTGAGGTTCCGCGGGGAGCGGCTGTACCGGTCCGGTCGTGGCCCTCCAACCGGGGCGGAGGCGCTGGAAGCCCGTCCGCGCAGGCTGGCGGAACACGCTTCTCCCCATCAACGTCTGCCCTCACCCATCATGGCGGCGGCAGAGCGGGCGGGCGAAACCAACGCGTGATGGCCGCAGGGGGGGGAGCAGCGAGCTCTGAGCGCCGCATCCGGCCCAGCACCGCGGCGCACCGCTCCCACCGCTCAGAGGGCTGGGCGCTCCGTCTGCCCGCCCGCGGTGGGGGGGAGTAGGGTGTGCGGGGAACAACGACTTCCTCTCTCCGTGGGCTTGCTGGTGGGCTGAGGGGGAGTTCTCCCCCCCCGCAGCGGGTGCGCTGTGGTTCGTCCCAGCCGCTGCCCTGGAGGGACGGTTAGGAGGGACGCGGCGGCGGCGGTTGTTGTGGGGCCGAGGGACCGGGGGCCCAGAGGGGTGAGGGGTGGTGGGGAGCACCGGGAGTAGGGGCCCAGGGGCGGGATACCCCAGCAGTGTAGGGTTGTGGGGAGCACTAGGGGTGCGGGAGAGCCTCAAGTGTGTGTTGGGGGGGCGGGGGTCGCTTGAGGAGCCCAGGAGCATGGGGTCGCCGGGAATGTGGGGGTCTGGGGAGCACCGGGAGCAGGGAACCCACATGAATGGGGGGGTGTAGGGGGCACCAGGAATAGGGGAGACCTAAAGGAGTAGGGGGGGGGGGGTATAGGGGGAAGCCCAGGAGCAGGGGACTCCAAGGACTGGGGTCTGGTGTGCCCATAATAAGGGGAGACCCCCAGGAGTAGGGGGCTTGGGGGGGATCCAAGGAATAGGGACCCCCAAGAGTAGGATTTTGCACGGGGCACCCCTTGGAGCAGGGTATGGGGTTCATAGCGGGTTGTGCTCCGGTGTTACCCCCAGTTCCTGGGTCAGGGGGGTGCTGGGGGAGAAGAGAAGCTCAAGGGGTGCGGGCCTGAGTAACGTGGGGGCTCCCAGGTCAAGAGGGGGGACAGTGAGGGTAGGCACCCTGCTTCCCCGCTCCTGCAGGTGCGTGGCGTGATGAGTTCCCCTGGCAGGGCCAGCAGCGCCTTCCCCCTGCACGTCCTGGTCTGGAATAATGACTACAGGCGGCTGAACGAGGAGCTGCAGGACCAGGTAACCGCGGTGCCGGGCTGGAGTGGGGCTGGCAGCCCCAAAAGACCTTGTGTCCAGGGGCTTGGTGCTCCTTGCTTCTAGAGAGAAATAACCTGGATGGTACCACCAGGTCTGTTTGCTGGGGTGATTTACCTGTTGATTTGGGGTTGTGGGAGTGACGTAAAGAGGGGTAGGAATATGCCTTTTGTTATCTGTGATATTGATTTCTATACAGCTGTGCTCAGAGCATTCGAGTGTGGGGTGCAGAATAGCTTTTAGTGTTAGGAGTCATTGAACGAGATCAAGAAGAGCAGATATAATGGACATCAGGTTTTTCTCTGCAATAAGTAAGCAATAAATGCTGCTTACCTTAATGTAAACCTACGTGCAGAGAAGGTGGCTGCTGAAGATGAGACCAGCCTCCAGCTTGCTGAGCACCAGCAGTTCTTCGTTGCTGGCCCGGGCTGTGGTGCAGTGCTTTTATACGGGCTGGGATGTTTTCAGCATCTTTGGTTAGGAAACTGGATCGTTGTTGCATGCTGTGGAGTAGGAAAATAACAAACTGTTCCCTCCTGGGGCCTGCTCAGTGAGCAGTGGTCCTGGTGTGAGGAAACAGGGTGAGGAGCTGCAGCAGGGCTCGAGCAGCGCGCATCCTCCTCGAGGAGGTGCTGGAGGAGCTCTGCTGCTCACAGTGGGGTTCAGGCTGCAGAAGCAGAGAGTGTTAATTACATTACACCTGACACCGCACGTGTACGAGCCAGCAGTGAGCTGTGCCACCGCCTCCTGAGTACTCACTGTCATCTGCAACTCTAACGGTACACCACGATTTACTAATGCTTGCTCAGAGCATGCTCCTCTCCTACTTTGGGGAGCATCTTTGGAATGCTGTTACTTTTTATCTCATTCAAGTGATCTTCCTTAACCAAACCTTGGAACCTCACTGGCGTGTTGCTTCTGTGCACTTACTTCCCTTCCAATAACGTTCCTGCCTGTGGAAGTTTGTCAGTGATTCAGGATCTGCTGTCGTTAGTCTGAGGCTGCAGTTCACAGTTGTGGAGTGCTGCTCCCCACCTCAGACAGCAGCATGTTAGGATGGGATGTGTCTGTCCTTTTATCTCCTGTTGAATTACTGCTGGTGTTTTAAAGTATTCCAAAGATACGTGTCCTCCTGCTTCCTTGGGATAAGCTTCTTGCTGGGGGAATGTGTAAGGGAATCAGATAGTCGGTGTGGCAGATGATGGGTGCAGTGTGTGGTTACCAGTTAATAGCAGCAAAGATGATGGGGGAAACACCTCAGAGTCCTTCACCTGTCAGTAGGGGTGGGGAAGCAAATCCATTAGTATCCCACCACAGAGGTGGAAAGAGGATGCTTTAAACTGAAGCTTTCCCTACTCTGTGTGTGATGTTTCCAACTTTAACACTGTCAGATAACCGTGTTAACTTGCATAATAACTTTCCTGTCTTATTCTGCTATTGACTTTCCCCTTTTCCTTTAGTTATAGATGCTCTTCTGTTTCAAATCTCTAAGCTAATAGTGAAAAATAAGTAAGGTATGAGTATGCTGTGCTTGCATGTTTTGGATATTTATGCCTGTGTAGTTTGTTTCTGTCTTTCTTCATTTTTTCAGTGACTTGTACAAAATGCACTCACTCCCCATTGTGCTGTGTGTGTCAGTCAGATGGATGCTTTGTACAATACCATTTGCTTCTGTACTTTCAAAGGTGATACACAAAGTTGGTGTTATGTGTGCCCTATTGGCTTGAGTTTTCCTTTCCCCCCTTATGTTATGTGTGTTAACCCCTCTCTTGGTGTCTCAGGCTGTCCATGGTTCAGTGTGCACACAGTAAACTCTGGTCTTCTTCTAAAGGGAAATAGAGGAAGAAATACTCACAGAAAATGAAATGAGAAGCACCAACTCAGTTGTGTCTTACAGTGATACCAGCTCTTACCATGTTGGTTTTATAGGCCCCATTCTGCTTCTCTCTCTGTATGTCAATGGGGAAGTTAGCCTGCACTACAGGGTGGTAGTGTTGGAAGTTGTGCACCACGGGCTGATATGTGGGAATATTGACTCCTGGGTTACTGCTGCCAAGCTTTGTTCACATAAACCCTCAGTGTGCTCTGCTGCATTTGACAGGGCAGCTTCAGCATTATTTCTCTCTTGGATACCCCACAGGATGTTGATCAACGCGATCCACGAGGCCGGACCTTGTTGCACCTGGCTGTTTCCTTGGGTTATATAGAATCTGCCAAGGTCCTTCTTCATCACAAGGCAGATGTAACCAAAGAGAATGCCCAGGGATGGACAGGTAAGGACAACCTGGGGAGCAGAAGGCATGTGCTGATGCTTTTCAGTTGCAGGTGTTGTATTTGGACTGCTTTTCCATGATGTGTTTTGCCTTGAAATGAAGCTGAAACCAGCTTGTGCCTGGCTTTCTTTCAGTTCTAAACGAGGCTGTCAGTACAGGGGATCCAGAGATGGTACAAATGATTCTGCAGCATCGGGACTACCAGCTGACCTCCATGACACTTGGAGGAGTTCCTGAGTTACTCCAGAAGATTAGCGAGGTAATGGTTTAGTTTAAACCTCTTACTCCAGGCTGCAATTCTCATTCAGGTAGTTCAGCTGAGTAAACTGAAATCAGGTGGGCAGTTGCATCCTTTGGCTCAGCTTGCATAATCCACAGTACTGTGGGAGTGGGAGACCTTTTCCTCGACTTCATTTAGAATTCCTTAGTCCTGAGCTCCAGCAGTGGAGGCTGAATCTTGAAGGTGAGCAGCTCATTGTAGTTTCACTTTTTAACATTCATTTATCATGGCTCTAGTTCTGCTCTTTATTTGTTTCCCTTTATCCAAAATGTTCACAAGAAATGCTGTATTGAATGTTGGACTGAAACTATTTCCTGTAGTATTCATCAGGTATTTTCCTTCTCCAGACTCCTGACTTTTATGTGGAAATGAAGTGGGAGTTCACAAGCTGGGGTGAGTATCCTCATTGTCATCTCTTCTATACTCTCAACAAAGGGACTTGCTAACATATAGGCGTCACAAAAGATGCACAGAGAAATGTCTACTCCCCAGAATACATCTCTCTTTACCTCTCAAAAGAGCCTCTTTTGTTTTTGTTGCACAAATATTCTTTGTTTCCTGTTTCTTTGGCTTGGTTCTTGAGGGCTTTGTTTTGTTTTTTATGGAGTTTAGGCATCACTAGAATTGCTGAAGCCTTTTCTTGGGGCTTTCTTTATCTGTCTGGCTGCTAATGACTTAGACAGTGACTCTATCGAGAGGCACAGACTACCTGGGAAGAACCTGCTTTGCTTTTAAAGGAATGAAGGATAGGCCATACAGCTGACTTCATTTTCCAAGCAGCTGTTCGACCACTAGGGGATGGGGTTTGGGCTGCTCCACACCTTTTAGTCTGAACTGGTGTCATCTTCCTTTTCATCATCATCTTTGAGTTAAAGTTGGTGGGGTTTGTCCCTAAACTGGTTGTTCTGAAAGCTAAAGATCAGTATCTCCTCTGGAATAATGATCATAGCATTGACAGTCCTGTATCAGGGATAAGCTCCTGCTTGAGCTCAGGCTCCCTGTGTATTTAGTTCCTATCTACAGTTCTCTCATTCAAGAGAATCTTCCTCTTTTCTAGTCCCGCTGGTTTCCAGGGTCTGCCCGAGCGACGTCTGCCGCATCTGGAAGAGCGGAGCCAAGCTGCGTGTTGACATCA